GACTGAAGAAGGCCAGCAAGCAGAGACAACAGAAGAGAGGGTTCAGGTAGCAGGGAACTTGACCAGGTCAGAATCCTTCAAGTGTACCACAGTTAAGAGAATTCAGAAATCAGTGAGCTGGATGGATCAGGACAAGCAGGCAGAAACACACAGTGCAGAGGATGGTATAACAGGAGAACAGAGGAGAAACATTGATGTTTCTGCATGATGGGGCAGGAGGTGGGGCGGAGGCGTCACTGTGCTGACCCTGTGCTTGGAGCATTGTTCTGATCACAGGTGTTTAGGTCTCCCAGATTCTCTAGGAGATCTGTAGCTGGGGACCTAAGTATTTGTTCTCCAAAGCTCTCTCTGTCTGTCTGTCTGTCTGTCTCTCTCTCTCTCTCTCTCTCTCTGTGTGTGTGTGTGTGTGTTTTGTTTTTAAATCAGCTAGAATAAAAGCTTCCCTTGATAACTAGTAGGTCTTTTAAACCTTCTGGCTTACCACCAGCTGTATTCCCAAACAGGAGAGCAGTTCTGGGGCAGGGAGCCGTAGTCCTGTGTTCATCAGTATCAGAGGGTGTGCAGACCTGAGGGCTGTCTGCCATTCCTTCAGCCTTTCATACCACCCTGTACTGCCAAAGGTGCTACGTGGATACCTGCGTATCTTACTGTAGTGCCCATAGTGAAACCCCCACCTGTGCCCCACTGTCAACTGTAGCATAATAGGCTCAGGTATACAGCTCACCTCAGAACCCCGCTACTGGGTTTTTTTTTAATTTTTATTATATTTTAATTTTTATTTGATTTTATTTAATTTTATTTTATTGGTCTTTTTGAGACAAGGTCTCCCTGTAGCCCCAGCTGTCCTGGAATTCACTATGTAGACCAGGCTGGCCTTGAACTCACAGAGATCCGCCTGCTTCTGCCTCCCGATTGCTGGGATTAAAGGCGTGTGCCTCCATGCCTGGCTATATTTTTATTTTTAATAGAATATTCTTATTAATTCTTTAAGAATTTCATACATGCATGTAATGTAGTTGGATCATATTCACCTCCCATTCCTCCCCTAGCTCCTCCCTCTCAACTTTGTGTCCCCCCTTCATCCTCTCCTCTGCTCCCACCTCACTCATGAATGTGGGGCCTGCTTCCTGTCCCTCCAGTAAATACTAACATATTTATAGTAAAATGCATGCATACATTCATTTGATGAAACACTCACTGATCACCTTCTCTGGGCTAAACATCGTTAAGAGAATCAGGGAATCAACACATGTGACTTCCTTTTCCTATGGACCTTCACATTCTGGTAGAGGAAAACAGACACTAAGCAAAGAGATAAATATTCATCTGGTGGTGACGTTTTAAATTTTTTTTAGATTTTATTATTTCTTTTATTTTATGTGTATAAGTGTTTTGCCTGCATATATGTAAGTGCACCACATGTGTGCAATGTCCACAGAGACCAGAAGAAGGTGTCAAATCCTCTGAAACCGGTGCTGTGGACAGCTGTGAGATGCCATGTGGGTGCTAGGAACTGAGCCTGGGTCCACTGCAAAAGCAACCAGTGCTGGTAACTGCTGAGCCAGCTGTGCAGCCCCATGGTGATTTTTTTTTTTTAAATAGAACAAGCAGACTGTTGAGAGGACTGAGCAAGTAAAGGTTCCCAAGCAGTCCTGGCGACCTGAGTTTGATCCTGGAATCCATGTAGAGATGGAAGAGGAGAGCATCTCCTCTGACTCCTACATGTGTACTATAACACACACACACACACACACACACACACACACACACACACACACTAAAATCTAGGCTGTATTTTAAAAAATATTTTATTTATTATTTTTATGTGCATGCATGTATTGCCTGAATGTAGATAAGTGTATCCATATCATGCGATGCCTGCAGAGGACAGAAGAGGCTGTTGGATCCCCTGGAACAGTTGTTAGCTGCCATGTGGGTGCTGGGATTTGAACCTGGGTCTTCTGCCAGAACAGTGTTCTTAACCACTGAGCCATTTCTCCAGCCCCAAATTTTTTTTAATGTAGAACAAGGGCCCAAAGCACAGGTCGGGGTAGCTTGCTCTGTGGAGACAGAGGCCAAGGGACTAAAAGGAGGGGATATTCCATGCTAGCTTCTGTGAGAGAGCTGGGTAAGCCAGTGGTGGAACCAGCAAGAACCTGTTCATCAGCATCTGGAAATGGGAGAATGAGGCTCACACAGCAGGAGAACAAGCATAGGAGCCAGGCAGCAGAAGCCAGGAAGGCCCAATTCTAGCAGGGTCCCTAGGCCTTCATGAGGATTCAGGCTTTTCTACCAAGTAGCAGGGGATGTTAGTAGAAGCTTGAGAGCAAGATGTGGTTCACATTAAAAGAGGACCTGTTACTGCTGTGGTGTGGAGAATTGGTATGGGGATTTGGAGTCAAAGCAGGGCCACCAGCTAGGAGGCTTTCCCAGAAATTCCAGTGAGAGAGGCCAGTGGCCAGGGCTAGGTGATGAAGGTGATGGAAGATAGCCAAAGTCAAGATTTGTTTTGGAGATGCAGCCTCAGGATTTGCTGTTGTGGGGTAAAGAACATGAGAGCTGACTTGTTACTGTTCATAGTTCCTGACATGGGACTGAGTGCAGGTGGGAAATCTCACAACTCTTGAAGTGTTAAACCTTCTTCACTCCTGAAGCCCAAACTTCCCAAGGTAGCACTTGGGATGAGGAGCTGGGGAAGCACAAGAAAAGTTTTACCTTTAACTAGTGTTTTCCCTTGGCCGGGCGCTCTTAATCAGAACCCTACAGCCATCTCCTCCAGAGTATTTGCCATCTGCTCTCTTGCTATTTGGCTCTACAGGTGAGCTCTCCTCTGCCCCATGATTCTGTCCTTTGCCATAGGCTTCCCTGGAACCTCAGGCTTCAGGAGATGCTAGGTCCGGAAGTATCCTCTGCCCCGCCTTGCTTTGTCTGCCTCTTTATCTGGTCCACTCTGCAAATTTCATTCCACTTGTAGTGACTTACTCTCTGGAGTCCAGAGCCACCTTGTCCAGCTCTCTTGAGGGTCTCCATGACTCTGAGATATAGCTGAACTCAAGCCTGGTATGCTATTTCCTTCATCTCTGTGTACTTCATGGAAAGAGACAAGACTCCTACTTTCCATGGCCATTATGTCTTTTCGAGAATATTCCACAGCAGTTGAGCTCAATCTACATGCAGACACTTTCCATTCTGTATAACCGGACATTCAATGTACTCTAAAGTTACTGGTTTCTAAATGCCAGTTTACTAACCAGCACTGCCTAGATTACTTGTGAATCACCCAAGCTCCAGCATCAGAGTGTGGGAATGGTTCCTGAGAAGTAGCATTCAGGAACCAATAAACTGCCTGAGTAGCTTTTGAGCTCCAGACAGGTTTGGAGAAGCTACTTTAAATATAATCAGGGAAAGTGGTCCAAGCCCAAAGGTTTCTCTTCTTGCTTTAAATAGATCCCCACCAACTCCCACCTCTAGGGCTGCAGGCAGCCTGTCACACATGCAGGATGTTCAGAAGAATTCAGTCCTAGTGTATGAACACTGGTGCCAAGGTGCCGTGAGACTGAGGAAAGAGGGAGACAGATTAGGTTGCACACAGTTCAATTTGTTGGGTGACTTACTGATTAAAGAGTAATCTTGAGTGGCAGGCAGCAAGGCCAATTGGATCCTGCAACTGGAATCTAAGAAAGGATGAGTTTATGGGTTAGGACAAAATTATTTCATCCTGGCTGTAATGGGCCTGGTTTATCTTAAGACAACACCAAAGAGTCAGGTGCATCTCCAGAGCCAGATCTTTATAGCCTCACATGCCACTCTAATGGTTTTATCTGTTCATAGTTTGCTACAAAATTATGCAAGAAAAAAACAGCAAGGATTACTCTGGGGCTATCATGATTAGTTAAAACTCATGACGGTAGTGGTCACATCAAGTTGAATCAATATTCTGGGTTAGACAGAATTTATTTAGGGTGGGAAATACTGTTGTCAACAGATGTAACTTTGGTAAGGCCCTTGAAGAAGTCCCAAGTCCCTATGGTCACTGAGCCACTATACTATAAGCAGGGGAAACCCTAGAGGACTTTTACTTAGAACTATCCCCAGTAGTGTGATGGGTTAATTGTAATCCAGTATGAACATAATCCTGTGGGTGCTGTAATTCAATGTAAAGATATCTGAGCCCCATATCTGAGTAAGATTTTCTAAAGAAATTCCTTTTCATTTATTTTTTAATTTTTTTATTTTTATTTATTTTTTGTCTTTTTGAGACAGGATCTCCTTGTAGCCCCAGCTTGCCTGGAACTCACTATATAGACCAGGCTGGCCTTGAACTCACAGAGATCCACCTGCTCTGCCTCCCGAGTGCTGGGATTAAAGGTGTGCACCACCATCACCGGCTCAAGAAATGGTTTTTTAAAACCAACTATCAGGCCAGGGAAGTTTAGGCAACTCCACTAAACCCTGTTCCCTCCCTTACCTGTGGGTGGCCTGGATCTTACCTCCACTAGATAAATGTTACTTAAATCTGCTCAGAATGGCATTTGTGGAGGGGAAAATTTGTTTCTTCTGCTAAAGACCAGGAGTGTGAACAATAATTATAAACTTTCATCAACTGTGCACCAGGCAGAATACTGGACACTGTTTTGAAGAGAGGGAGGGGATGACCTTCCCAATTACCGAATACAATCCTATTACCTCCACTTTTGACAGACAGACAGACAGATAGACAGACAGGGAAAAGGGAATTTAAGTGTCTTGTCCCAAGATATGAGTAGCATAAGAGCTGGTGGGAACTTCTAGCCACCAAACCCCCCTCTTCATTATTGTTCATTACCAATCCTGAATTTACTGCTCTACACCTTAATTGTGAGTCCAGTTCCCACCTCTACCCCCAGGAAAAGGAAAGGGCAGGTAATGGAGTTTGGTCTTAGACCCAGCGGGGACACATGGGTGAGAGCTGATGGAAGGAGGGCCCAGGATAGGCAACTGACCTTCCTGTCTGATCTCAGGTACTGGAACTCCTTGAGCAACCTCGTGGCATCCTTGCTGAACTCTGTCCGCTCCATTGCCTCCCTGTTGCTTCTCCTTTTCCTCTTCATCATCATCTTCTCCCTTCTGGGGATGCAGCTGTTTGGAGGAAAGTTCAACTTTGATGAGATGCAGACACGCAGGAGCACCTTTGATAACTTCCCGCAGTCCCTCCTCACTGTGTTTCAGGTATGGACTCTGCTCTGCTGAGACTCTCACAGGGAGGGTTGTCCCTAGTAAAGCAGGAGGTGGGCAAGAGGGAGCCTTGAAAAAGGAGCAGTGAAAGCAGTTCCCTTTCACTGGGCATAATGTCAGCCTAGATCAGCCCTGGAGGGACCATGTCCCAAGGGTCTGGAGCTCTTTCTGTAGTCAGCAGTTTCCTGTCCCTCAACCATCCATCGAGCTGTACAGGTGGTTGTAACAATGAGAAAAAAATCTCACTGAGTAGTTTAAAAATATTTGTGAGGCCATGACAACCATTAGCCAAATAAACTGTTAACATGCAAAACAGAAACAAAAACAAACTGCTCTTGCTGGGAGATGGAACGCCTATGTCTGTCCTCTGCAGTATCTTTGCCCCTGGGAAGAAATACAACTGGTCCAACAGAGTTGTGTTTTCATGAATGTTTTGGCTTGCAACAAAACTAGAATGTCACTTAGAAGTAGACTTGTGATAAATAAAAGTGAATGTTGCTAAAATTTTAATGGGGGTATCAAATGATGGATGTTTGATTTTTAAAAAAAAAATGTGTGTAGCCTATCTCCACCACCACCCAGGTGACTGATGGTGGTGGTCTCGTATACAAAGCGAAATACATATGTTAACTACAAAGCCCATTTGTCAGTGACCATGTACTTTGTAGGTAGGGAGAAACTTGCCCAAGTCTATAGTCCCTAAGAAAAATTGGGGCCCAGGAGGTGGGAAAAGAGTGGAAAGGAGATTTTGGACATTTCTATTAAGACAGTGGGATAGGGCAGGGCAGGGGAGTTTGGGGGTTTGCTGTTGGTCTAACGCTGTGTCCCTTATTGGTGGGAATGTGTCATTCAGATCCTGACCGGGGAGGACTGGAATTCGGTGATGTATGATGGGATCATGGCTTATGGCGGCCCCTCTTTTCCAGGGATGTTAGTCTGTATTTACTTCATCATCCTCTTCATCTGTGGAAACTGTATCCTTTGCTGCTGCCCCCACCCTATTACTCAACTCAGCCTTTAGCACAATGCCAGATAGATGTGCTCCGAGGCCCTGACTGGGGCTCTGTGCTATGGCTGCCCATCCACACACTAGCTGGGCCAGACTGCTGTGGGAAGGACTCCTGGCTTTGCTTGGATCCACTTCAACCAAGGGGTGGGTCTGGGTGCAGGCTGCAACTGGGACATGGGTGACAGTGTACAAAATGTCCTCCTGAACACATTCATGCCACAGTGTCACCCCTCTCTAGGAGGTGTGCTCTGGTCATTATCTGGGTGACACATGCTTCCCAAGCATTGTGGCCTATGCAGCCAAATTCAAACAGACTTTAAAACTATTCTTGGGGAACAAGTCACAGGCAGAGCTGGACAGATTGCCAAGTAGACCTGATATCTCTTTCTTTATCTGGGTCTTGGGCAGAACCCCAGGGTCTCAAAACCCTAGACCCTTCTCTTCCACTGGTTGAACCCCAAGAGAGTAGAGTCCAGAGGCTGAGCGATAAAGTAGAAACACCTCTATCCAAGAATTGGGTGAACTCTCAGTTTTAAGTAGTTCAGAAAGCAAGAGAACTATGCCACCTGCAGACAAAATTTGTGTTTCATCAGCTGGGTAACTATCTCTAGCACATCAAAGGCTCTCTTCCTCAATATCTGTAAAGTGCAACACAAGTTGAGCATCCCTAATTCAATAATCCAATATCTGGAACTTTTTGAGTACCTGTTATTACAGGTTGCCATAAGTAGGAAATTCCACATGAACCTCTCATGTACAAGATTATTAAAGGTGCACATAAAATTGATGCCAAAGTATATAAAAAGGTAGATACGAAACAAATGTATTTTGTGTCCTAGCCTCAAGATATCTTATTATATGTATTTCAAAAATTTGGAAAAAATCAAAATCCAGAATACTCCTTGTCCTAAGAATTTCTGATACGGGATACTGAGCCTGGAACAGAATAATATTAAGTGCTGCTTAAATGGTCCCTGCGACTTGACTGGAAAATGTATGCAAAGCCTCTGCCCATGTTCTCCTTGAACAAGCCCTTTTCCTGTGGGGTTTCAGCTTCCTCGTGTGAGAAATGATGTGTCTTTATGGGTGCCCAGGGGTGGATATCAGATTTCACAAACTCAAGACCTTTCCTGTTATACTTTCTTTGTTCTGTGGTCCCTTGGCTTATAGTGTTTCTGTCGATGAAAACCTGGAGGGCTGTCAAGGTGGCCTAGACAGGCAAATGACTGCTTCAGTGAAGAATTCTCAAACCTTGACTTCTCTAGCCAGACCCTCTAAGGGCTTACATTAAAAGCTGGCAGAGATACCACACTGCCTCTTCAGTGCCCTGTCACGATGAATGGGTCTTAAGAGCAGTTTGCTAGAGACAGTGCTGCTTATGATGTTGATCACAGGCAGCCATCTCAGTGATGAAACCAATAACGAAGAGGGATTAAGAACAAGGCAAGGCCTGCTCCCTCATGCCTACCCTGAACCCTCATGCCTTCCCTGCTCCCTCATGCCTACCCTGCTCCCACCTGCAAGACAGCCTGATTTCAACCACTTAGAAAACTCCAGATAGTGAGTAGGGTGGCTGGGAAAAAATGGAAAGGGACACGGCTGGGCTCCGAACCCCTCAAAGTGGATCTTCCTGGGGAACTCTACCCTCTGCATGTCTGCACTCTCACTGTCCCCTGTGGTCATCATGTTCCCCATGGCCATGAGTTATTTTCTTTAAGAATGGATACAAACAGATATCCTACTGAATGTGTTCTTGGCCATTGCGGTGGACAATCTGGCTGATGCGGAGAGCCTCACCTCTGCACAAAAGGAGGAAGAAGAAGAGAAAGAGAGAAAGAAGCTGGCCAGGTAACCCTCTAAGCTTAGCTGCATCCAACTCTGGAATACCATTCCCATGGGTTGGTGCTTGTCCAGTTGCCCATCCTGCCTGGAAAAGACTGGAGTCGGGTGTCTATAGCAGTTTGGGCTTCTCTCCCCGCTCTTAGCCATTGCTGTGGCATAGTGAAAAATAGTGAAAAATAGTCTCCACAAAGAAGTTTCCCCACTGTCTAGGAAGTGAGGGGTCCTCCTTCGGGAGGAAAAGCCATGGGAATGCAAGGAAGGGAGAGGGGGATGGCAGCTCAAAAATGATGCTCCCTCACTCTTTTGTACTGCTGGAATGTTGGGAAGGCAACACAGGGTTCTACATTGAGTCCTACCACTTCCTGCTGGACACCGAACAGAGTTCCTCCAGGAACCAATCTTAAGTGATACCTGGAATCCTCTGATTTAAGGAAGGGAGCAGATGAGGATCTAGAAAAGGCCAAACAAGTGTCAGATAGAGCCAAGGGTGCCCCAGCCCTGTGGCAGTTATACTAGTGGTGTGCTTTGGAGAAAAGAACATATAACACATAGACACACATACACACACACACACACACACACACACACACACACATACACACACACACACTGCCCCGGCTTCTCCCAACAGACTGAAAAGCAGTCCCTGTCCACTATCATCGCAGTAAACATCATTTCTTTTTTTCTTTTTTCCTGCTGACCGGCCAGGACTGCCAGCCCAGAGAAGAAGCCGGAGGTGGTAGAGAAGAAGCCAGCGGTGGAGGAGACCAAGGAGGAGAAAATTGAACTGAAGTCCATTACTGCAGATGGAGAGTCCCCACCCACCACCAAGGTCAGGGTCCACCTCCTTCAGAAGCGAAGGGGCCTTCAAGGGATGGGGTCTCCCTGGCCTTTTTCCAAAGAAAGGAGAAAGAAGGAAAGGGTTGGGGAGATGAAAGGTATGAGGGTGAGGAGACGGACTTGAGAAGGAGAAGAAGCACATTGGAACCGCAGCTTTGAGCTAATGTCCTGAGGGGAACTGCGCATCATAGTGACAAGGATATAATGTTTAGCTATGTCACTGACTATAAAGCATTTCCAAGGCTCTTCTTCAGCTTGGAGAACTGTGACACATATCCAATTCTTCTTTCTTTTTCCTTGACTGCCCAGATCAACATGGATGACCTCCAACCCAGTGAAAATGAGGATAAGGGTCCCTACTCCAACCCAGATGCCACAGGTACCAGTTGCACCACCTGACTCTGGGATTGAAAGACCGGGGTAGAGACTCAGAGCCTATGGCTGTGTGGCAATAACTGGATGCTGGGGACCCTGGATCTCGTTTCCTCCACAAACACCTTGCACTGCTAAACAGCCTATGGTGGTATCTAAGCTTTACTGTTGCTATCTGGGGTAAATCTGCTCTTCCTGATTTCCTCATAGTATCAAGAGAGATAATACCATATTTGAGGAGGACTTTTTGAATTTTAACTATTTATACTTAGGCTTTTTAAATGTTTTTTTTGCCTTTTTGAGACAGAGTCTCCCTATAGCTCCAGCTGGCCTGGAACTCCCTATGCAAACCAGGCTGGCCTTGAACACACATAGATCTGCTTTCCTCTGCCTCCTAAGTGCTGAGATTAAAGGCCTGCACCACCATACCCAGCCTTAAATTATTATTTTAATTGTAAAAAAATTATGGGACAAATTTAGTTTCCCATAAATGATAATTCAATATGTGTGTGCCATGTATGATCAGGGTAGAAAACATTTCTATCCCCTTAAACACTATAAAAATATTTTATTAGTATGTAATAGTTGTACAAATTTATCGGATCAGAGTAGTGTCATTATACATGTATATGATGTGCACTGATCAAATCAGGTAATTAGCATCTCTCTTTATCTTGGGAGACTTCGAGCATCTCTTACCCAGTTCTTCATAAATATCTAATGGGTTCTTGTGAGCGCTATGTGGACACTAGAACTTACTCTTCTCTCACCTGAGCTTAGGCTCCTGTTAGTCAGCCTTCCTCTCTCCCAGGGCTTTTTAAACTTTATCCATTTGTGATCTCTTTTTGACCAAGAAATTTTTATGTGATTCCAGGTACACAGGTATATAAAGTAAGTATACGGATTAAATATTTATGGGGCTGGAGAGATGCCTCAGCAGTTAAGAACACTGGCTGTTGTTGCAGAAGACCTGGGTTCAAATCCCAGCACCCACATGGCAGCTAACAACTGTCCGTAACTCCAGTTCCAGGGGATCTGACAGTCTCTTCTGTCCTCCTCGGGCATTGCGCAACACGGGTGCACTTACCTACATGCAGGCAATACATACACTCACACATAAAAACAATAAAAAAATTAAAAACAAATTAAATATTTACTAATAATTATTCATAAAAAAATTTTAAAAAATAATTTTTTGAGTATGTGTAATTTTATCAGCTATTAAAAATTAAAGCAAATTTTCATACTGATGAGATGGATAGGCTTACTTATTTTCATATAAAAGTCAAATCTTGGCTGAGTATTTGATGCTGCAGGACACAGAGCATCTTCAAAATTTTTCAGAGTTGATCAATGTATTTTGTAATTGTCAATGCTGATAATGATATCTCACATAAATACCTAGTATAAAACAGTAGAAGTATGTTTGCAGTCATATTCAGAAATTATTGGGCTGGACATGGTGTTTCATGCCTTTAATTAATCCCAGCACTCAGGAAGCAAAGGCAGGCAAATCGCTGTGATTCATGGCCAACCTGGTCTACATAATGAGTTCCAGACCAGCCAGGGCTACATAGGGAGATCTTGTCTTCAAATTAATTAATTAATTAATTAATTAAATAAATAAAATAAATGCTGGACATGGTGGCACATGCCTTTAGTCCCAGCACTTAGGAGGCAGATGTATGCAGCTCTTTGTGAGTTCAAAGCCAGCTTGGTCTACATAGCAAGTTCCAGGCCAACTGGGGCTACAGGGAGACCCTATCTCAAAAACACATGGACGCACACACCGAAAAAAGACAGAAATTGTCCTAATCCCAAGCTATAATTCATTTAGCCTTTTTTTGTCTATTTTTTTGTCCTTGTAGTCCCAGCTGTCCTGGAACTCACTATGTAGACCATGCTGGCCTCGAACTCACAAAGATCCGCCTGCCTCTGCCTCCCAAGTGCTGGGATCAAAGGCGTGTGCCACCACGCCTGGTTCATTTAGCCATTTTTTAATGAGGCTCAAGTAAGCAACTCAAACAGCATTTGTTTATTTATATTTAATTTTTATTTATATTGAATTTTTCAATTTTCATACACTATAGTTTGATGGTATTTAGACCCACTCCCCTCTACACCTCCCCCAGCTTCTCTATGCCCAATTTAATGGCCTATAGAGTCAGATTTGTGTTCCCCAATGCCCTTCAGTGTGAGTCCATCCACTGTGTACACAAGGGTCCCCTCCCTGTAAGACACTGTCTCTCCCCCTCCCAGAAACCATCAATTGCCAAAAGTTCCTTAGGTTGGGTTGGGGTTTCTTATCCACTTCCCCGTGTCTATGCTGGGATTTTGTCTGAGCTCAGCTACTGCTTGTGCGTGCTGTCACCATTGCTGTGAGTTCATATGAGTAACTGACCAGCTGTCTGGAAAACTCTTCAAACAGTATTTTTAAAAACTATTTTGTTTTTTAAAATCTACGACAGTCTAAAGATAATTTGAATCTTACCTGAGAGGAAAATATTACCTTTATTTCCCGTAACTGTACATTGATTACGGCAGAAAATGTTGTATGTAATTCATGATATGCAATAGTCTTTCACTGCAACTGAACGAGGCAGAGATGGCTAGTGGAGCACGGTGTGACAGCACACACAGTGCAAAGTATGCACGTTATGTGCTTAGAGCCAAGGCTGCAATGTATGTGCAAGCTCACAGTGTGTGCTAGCACTGCCTGAACACCTCTGACTCATTACACTTTTGAGGTCATTGCACATTCATAAAACTTTTTGCTATTGCTGAAGTTTTTGTAGCCCTCATAGCTCAGTTAAAAGACCTCCTATGGGGTCATGACCCGTAGTTTAAGAAGCTGTGTGTGTATGCTAGTGTTGTGTCCTTTAAAAGGAGGCTGGATTCTATGTGTGTCGAGGTTTCACTGCACCGTATGTTTTGAGATCACTGTTAACGTATGTATTTTATTAGTAGAGCATATGTTGCTGCATTATGCTCACCTAATAATAGTCAATCCAAAATGCATCTCGTCATTACTCAGGAGGCATTGCTCACTACAAGGACAGCTGCCATCACAGATGTCCCATTTGTGGCTCTATGAAATGCTTTCAGGTCTCCCATCGTAAAAAGAGCTCTTGCCAGCCTGATTCTGTGCGTGTGTCTGATGTGTGACTTAAGAGGCAGTCTCCTTTCAAAGGGTTTTAAGGTCAGAGTCCCTGGCCCTCTCTCCACCATATATGCATCCAAGATTCTGGAAGCCCCATCCCAGCATGAGCCTGTGCTTGTCTCCTCCAACCTAGAGCTGCCGATTTGTCACCAGCTCCAAGCTGGAAGGTAACATACAGGAAGTGACTGTGGATTTTTATGACCTTTTCTTCTCGGCATAGGTTAGACTGTATTGGGTTGGTAACCCAGGGAGATGGCTGAAAACCTGTGTTTCTAAGCAAAGCTATCTTTTCCTGTGGCTTTCCCTTCACTCTTTCTCTACTAGATCTACAAGGATGCTATAGGCATCTTTGTTCCTTCCTAGAAGCAGCTCCCATTCTCCTCCACCCTCAACTCCTCTCTCTCTACTGGGGAAACAGGATTTGGTGTTTATGGCTTACATATAATGAAGAGTGGGAAAACTGTGTCCAGGTTTTGCTGTCGTAAAACCCTTGGATGGGTGAGGGAGAGGCTGCACAGGCTATTAAAGACTTGCTAGAAATAGTGACTCAGTGCCATGGAAAGATTTTTGTCTGGATCTTTTTACATCTTTTTAAAAATATTTTATTTATTATTTTTATTTTATCTGTCTGAGTGTTTGCCTGCATGTGTATAAGTACACCCACATGTGCAATGCCCTCAGAGGTCAAAAGAGGACGTCGGATCCCCTGTAACTGGAACTCTATTTTAAAATGACATTTTTGAGATAATTGGGAAAAGATTTAATACAAACTAGGAACTAAATGGTTTTGAGTAGATTTTGTTAATCATGTTGGTATGATAATATGGTAATACCTTTCCCGAAATGCTACAGTGTTTATGGCTAGAATCTGAAATAGTTAGAAGTTGCTTTAAAAATATTTCAACAATCTCCCAAAAATGAGGGCAGAGGAGATAAAGAGAAAATAGATCGGGCAAATGTCAATAGATGTTGAAGCAGCTACAGAGAATCACTCTACAAGTGTCTCTGCTCCTGTGTGTGTTTTTGAAGTTTAAATAAAATGACAGTAAGAGAGTGCTCGCCTCAGAGTCCTAAAAAGCCCAGAAAGGCCCTGAAAAGCTGGCGTGGCCTGAAGGATGAAGCCCCTGCACACAGTGGGGGCAGGTCTGAGTTGGGGAGTTTTTTCACACGTACACACAGCTGTAGCCTGGCTTGAACCTGTCTGTTGTGCATGGCAAGGAGATGGCAGATCGTTTACATGTGTGACAATGATCTCAAATTGTATTGTTCTAAATAGAATACAGAATCTTGGCTTTTCTTTGTTGCTCTAATAAAACCGAAGTGGAAGCATCTAGGGAAAAAGGACTAACTAATACATGTCACCACGATGGACCATCATCACGGTCTCTCCCTATTGACCCAGCATGTGGCCATCCATCGGCCTTGAGGATTCCTGAGGTGTTTATCCTTTGGAATATAAAAGTTGTTCCCACACTGTACTGAATCCCCAGGATTCTTTACAGTTTGTTGTTGTTTGTTTTGTTTTTTGTTTTCAACTTGTCCTTCCCCTAGTCATGGGGGACCTTCTCTAACCTCCTGTAGGTGCTTGTCTTCACCTCTTTAAATTTTGTTTTAGTCAATTTTTCATTACTTTGATAAAGAGGTAGTGAATTTGTAAGGATGGAAAGTTTGCTTTGACTCACGATTTCAGAGGTTGCGGGTGGGAGTATGTAGCGCCATTCCTTATAAAAGCATGGAAGTTTAATTGTCAAAACTAAGGGTTCTGGGAATGCAGCTCAGTTAGTAGAATGCTTGCCTACCAAAATGAAGCACCAGGTTCAATTCCTAGCAACACATAATCCAGGAATAGTAATACATGCCTATAATCCCAGCACTTGAAAGGTGGAGGCAGGAGGATGGGAAGGTCACTCCCTGAAGCCCAGGTACTCAGGAGAGTGGATAAAGGGTGCTCCCTGTGGATAAGGATGCTCCCTGCAGCACCCTTTTTCTGGGAAATTTGGGGGTTTTAAGTATAATTTGTTAAGTTTTTAAAATGAATTTTTATTGACTGTGTTCTTTGACAGTTTTATACACATATATATTGAATGGCTACTTTCACTCCCACCCTCTCCTGGCTCCCTCCCACCCCTGTTAAACCCTCCCCCACTTTCCCCTAAGAGGCTTCTTTTCACATTCATGAATTTTGTTTGGGGACCCACTGAGTTTAATCAGTGCTGTCTTTGTGACCATGAGTTTGAGCTGTCCATTGCAGCCGGGCAGGCTCACCCATGGGTATACCACTGATGGCAATGACTGACCTCCCTCACTATCCACATATCAGCAGGGAGGGCTCAAGCCCCATGAGCCCCTCCACAGTCTATGATAAACTAATGATAAGCCTACTTTCATGCAAGTGCAGTAGAGGCAACCTCATCCACTGTGGGATCTTGCTTGCACTGGCTTTCATGCCCAGAAGATAGCATTTCACAGCCCTTCTTCCTGTCTTCTGGCTCTTATAGTCTTTCTGTCTCTCTTCTGCGATATCCCCTGAGTCTTAGAGGAGTGTTATGAGCATCCTATTTAGGGATGGGCACTCAACTGTCACTTAACACCTACAGCAGCCGTGAGTCTCTGCATTTACTGTCTTTCATTGCGACTATAAGCTTCTCTGCTTAAAGCTGAGAGTAGCATTTGTCTATAGATACAAAAATAAAGATCGAGAGGGCAGTTTGGGCCATGTGACTTTAGCTATATAGCAATAGTAAGTTCATTCTTTTAATTCATGGAAGTTTCAAGAATAGGATTGACTATAAGGCACTCCACAACTAAGCCAGTCCCTTTTCCCATCTGCGGCTAAGATGGACAGGTACACCTGGCAATGCCTGGGCTTGCCCCATCCCATCCTCCAGCACCTTTCAACCAGACAATGAATTATCTCGGTTTTCTCAGTCCTGAGGGATTCCCTGGAATGTGGGATTCTCAGTTTGAAAACCAGAATAGTTTTGGCAAAGTGGAACATATTGCTCATCCTACTTACAGCCCCTAGTACTGTATACTTCCAGCAATGTCTGTCTCTAACAGACTTTGTCCTCTGGTAGCCCCAGTGGAACAGGGCAGAATGCCTGCCTGGATTCACATCCTATAGCTCAGAGATACCAGTGATGTCTTGGTCCCACAATAGGAAGGTTTCTGGAAGGAGAGATGGTGAGAGTGAATGGTGGATTTCTGAGACTGGGGCTTTTATCTTACAGGAGAAGAGGATGAGGAGGAGCCTGAGATGCCTGTGGGGCCACGCCCTCGGCCCCTGTCTGAGCTGCACCTTAAGGAAAAGGCAGTGCCCATGCCTGAAGCCAGTGCATTTTTCATCTTTAGCCCCAACAACAGGTGCGCGAGAGCGGGGAGAGAGGAGGAGCTCTACCCCTCCTCCATCCGAAGTTAGCACATGCATGTATCTTAGCTACCTGGGAAGCCTGGATGTTCCCAGTTGCCCACAGCTAGTGTGAAGACATAGGAGACTATGAAAGTACTGGATTGTAAATCAAATGATCTGCTGTTAATTTTCCACTCTAGGTTTTGAATGTGTAAACTATTCCTAGCCTTCCAGTGCTTACCTTTGATAATTTACTAAGTCTGTGTAACTCAAGAAAACATAAACTTCATTCTTTCTACTAGAAGGACTGTGGGGAAGGGCTCCTGGGACCCAGGAGTACCCTCTGTCTTTCCTGACATGTCTTTCCCCCTCCCTTCCCACATAGGTTTCGCCTCCAGTGCCACCGCATTGTCAATGACACGATCTTCACCAACCTGATCCTCTTCTTCATTTTGCTCAGCAGCATCTCTCTGGCTGCTGAGGACCCCGTCCAGCACACCTCCTTCAGGAACCATGTATGCACTCTCTTTTGTTCTCTGCACCCCATCCTTGTGGGAATGGGACAGGCCCACAGCTGCTGCTACTGGCTTCATTGTTCAGTCTGGAGCCCTGTTCTGAATCTCATACTCAGCGCATGGTGAACACTTCTCTAAGAGATTAGGGCTTTGGTAGAAAACTCATCTCAGAACCCTAAGCAAGTGAGCATGTACCCAAATGCAACTGATGAGTTTAATAATTGACAGTGGTCAGGCATCTTGTTGCCTGTGGATGTTCCCCAGGAAGCTCAAGGTGCCTGTAACTCAGTAACAAGGCCACTGATTTTCCTGCCCTGCTCCCACATCCTCCAATCAGGAAGGAGCATTGGCCATTAGGTGTCAATGGTAAGACTGACCTCACATGAAAAGAACCTTAGTAATCCTTGATACGTGATATCTGTTTGGAGCTACCCAAGGCTCTGGAAAACATCAAATACTAAAATAAGGATTGCTATACCTCAAAACCCCAGAGCTTTATTAAGTCTCAACCAGGCAGGAATGAAGAAAAGAACCAGTGCTCTGAATTCATGCTCTAAACAAAGCGCTCAACACTGGGAGACTGCCTGGTCCAGGCTGTCCTGCTGAGGTCAGCAGGAGCAGCCCCAGTCCTGGTCCATGCCTCAAGATGAAGTCGAATATTACATCCTATGACCTTTCCTCAACCTGGGCTGACCTGGAGGCCTTCCTGCCCAGGGTCCAAGGCCATGACAGCAGTATAAATTTTCTCCAACATACAATGTCACACCAATGTGAGAGCTAAGCATTTTGAGTGGTCCTATGAAAACAAAGCCATTCTCTGTTCTCTTGAGCAACATCCCAGTGGTCTGCTTTGGGTTTCTAAGTAAACTGGGTTGATGAGAGAAGCATCCAAACAGACGCTGCTTAGACCCAGTTCCTGCTTGGCCTACCCCAGAAGCTCCCCCCACCCACCTGTCTGCAGAATCCATACAGAGCCACTGAGACACCCGTGCTAGCCCTTACTGGGCACTCATGTTGCAAGTCTTTCCTCTCTCTTCATGTGTCCACGTGGAAAGGCTCCCATGGTGTATGGGGGGATGCATCCTGTTTTGAAGTGCTATTCCTTTTCTGGTGAACATCCACTGACCTTTCCCGGTATCCTGCCTGTCACCCTTCCCCAACCCTTCCCATCCTGTTTCTTTTTGTTTTGCAGATTCTGTTTTATTTTGACATTGTTTTCACTACCATTTTCACCATTGAAATTGCTCTGAAGGTAAAGCCCCCCATCTCCCTCTCTTCCTCTTTCTGCCAGTCCTAGCTCTCTGCTGCTGTCTGTCTTGTTGCTAACACACATGCTCCTGTTGGTGTTGGGTGCACTCTCAGAGCCACTAATCCAATTCTGCTTATTTTTCAGATCCTAGGCAATGCAGACTATGTCTTCACTAGTATCTTTACATTAGAAATTATCCTTAAGGTAATGCCCCCTGAGCAATGTGTCTCTGTCTCTCTGTGTCTCTGCTGTCTAGCTGACTCTTCTAGAAGTTTTGTTCACTCTCTTGACTCTTGTGCCCTCCCTTCATGCTGTCACTTTGCCCAGGCTCATAAGCCAGGATAAACTATCCCACCACACCCCTCCCTTGTACCCACTTAGAAGCAGCTCTAGGCGTAGAAGACTCATACACTAGGTGCGTCACCATGGGTGCTGTCCCATCACTGACTGATCATGGTGACTGTCTGTAGTGCCCTGCATACATGTACTTTCTCCAGTCAATTGGTGGTTGAGCTGTACTTGAAATTCTGTGTCCCGCCTGCTGCCAAAAGAAAATGCCATACAAACTCTAGAAGGGCAAGAGCTCTGGAGCATGAAGGAGTCACTTTAACCCCTCTCTTTGGAGGTCTGTCATCAACACCTTCCTCAATACTAAGGCAAACATCAGAGCTAAGCTGAAGTTGGTGCCGTATAATAGTAACAGTGGGCCCGAAGCCGGTTTGGGAGTCAGCATCACACCTGAATCATACAGCAGACTAGAGATTGTTTCTCACCCCTTGGTAACCTGCTGCTCCGGTGAGAGTGGTCTTCTATACAATTTGGTCAGTGTATGTCACCTATAAGCCAAAGTGTGGTCTTGCTGGTCTACCTGGGATGCAGGATGTGAGTTCTGAGACACTGGGTACTGTTAGCTTCTCTCTGAGCAAGGGGTAGACTTTTCCCTTGCCCTGAACAGAAGAGACATGGTCTCTCAGCATAGGCTTCAGCTTGAGCATCTTCCTGGAACACTTGCCTGGGATGCCCCCTCCCAAGAAGCCGGGCCTCTCTTCAGCCCGTGCTTGGGGCTGAGATGAGCTGATGTCCACTCTGAGTATACAGCAGCACCTGCTGAAGACCTTTCTTTTCCTGACGAAACTCCCATACCATGTCTAGCCTTTTAGTAGGCATAGCATTTGTCACATCCAAATACAACTCAAGTTGGGCTGTTCCTATATGCCTCCCAAGATGCCCTTGTATCTCAGAGGCTCAGCTGTGCAGACCCTTAGCTTCCCTTGCTCACCAACTGTGTGGCTCAGATTTTCCTTTCCCTCTCCGAGCAAGTAGATCTGCCAGGCCCCAGATCCTGGTAGGGAAGCGGGCCTCAGAGCCTGCATTCAAACACCTTGCTGGAAAGGAACCATTTTCCATGACCACTTTTCTGCTGCACCCCAGACTCAGGGAGGCACAGAAGCACTGGAAGATCTTTCCCAGGACAAGAAAAGCTCTGAGGCTAAATTCTCAGGATCCATGTAGTGCTTCCCTTGAGGATTTCAATGGTGCTTTCTCCTTTAAGATTGCCATGCAAGCGGAAATGAAAGTCTCTGCAAGTGTTTTCATGGCAAAGCCTTCCCCTACTTCTTCCTTCTTCCTTTTCCAGTCTCTTTTATTGCTCACTGTGCTTCTGATACCCCAACCCCCCATCTTCAGTCCACTTTCCACACTCCTTCCTGTAGGATTTGTCTGCCCAGCTAGGAGACCCTGTATTATGCCAAAGCTTGTAATAATGATGGTACCCAGGGGCCTGTTACTAGAAGGGACTGTTGAAGGGCCTGGGGCTGTTTGCCCTTAAAAGAATAAGGTAGGACCACACTGGCTGACCTGAATGATGGAAAGGACTATTCCATAGAAGGAAAGCAGAATCCAAATCAACCACAGAAAAGACAAAAGTGAGAAGATGGTTCGTAGCTAGAGACATGCCTCGGAAACATGATTGCCTGGAGCTGGATGGGGGAAGTCAGCTTCCCCTCTAGCTCAAAAGGCTTGAGAGCCCATGCCTTATTCCTTTCCTTTTTCCACATAGAGATGCCTAGTCCCAGGCCTTTCTTGGGAAATGGCCTAAAATTTTCCAGAAGCAGGGCCTTTTGGTACGTGTCCACTGCTCCCATCAACATACCTACACTTTTATAAAGGCTAGTCTGTTTCTCAAGTCTCTTGACTAAACAAGCCCAAAGTCAAGGGACAGGAATATCCTCTGAGCCACACTGTCCCGCTGTCTCAGAAGTGTTCTTTCCGCCATGCAGAGGGTTCTTTTAGAGTCATTAAGAGGTCCAAAAGATCCAGCTCAGGAACAAGGAGGAATAACCTTCTCTGAGCCTGAAACAAGTGTCTAGAGAGAGGGCGTGACATTTCCCTTGGTCCAGAGGGCTCTTGGTGAGTGTGAACAGTGGAAGCCACTCGGTTCTACCTTCTGGGGTCCAGGTCTTCATGGAGACATAGGGCAGTGAGCCTTCCAGGTCACAGTCTTTAGGAGAGATCTGTAGCCATATCCCACCCCCATAACCTTTTATATAATCTCCCTACTTCTAAAAACTGTTGCAGAACACAGGTTGCTAAGTCCCCTGTGATCTCCTGCTGCAGGAGATAAATGGAAGGAATTAGGTCATAAGAGCTATTTTCGTCAATTTCCCCATTTGCTTTTGTATTGCTCTTTGAGTATACCACCTGGGCACACTCTCAGTCCAAAGAGAAAAACTGGACCCCGGATAACCAGGAAGCTGCTCTTGGCCTCTCAACCATCAGTTCCAAATTTTTTTCGTGGGCTGATGCTTCATGGCATGTGACTTTTTGTAGCCTCATTCTGAGAGTGTCCATGCTCTCTACTGCAGTCAGCAAAGTGGTAAACATGCATAGTGCACAACTTCCTAGAAGCCCCTTAAGAGGCAATGTTAGCCAAATCCTTTAGCAGTAATCATCCTTCATGGTCTGCATTTTAAAGTTTTCAGAGGACAGTACTTTGTTTTCTTGTCTGACCCTCACAAACGCAGGAACCATCACTCAGACTTTATAAAGACAACTTCCTTAATACAAGAAGAGGGCAGAATTCAAATCCAAGTTTTTGTGGGCATTGTAGTGAAAGAGACACATATGTGGAGCTTACCATGTGCAGGAACACAGTCTGAGTGCTTTATATATAATTAATCCATCACGGCTCATGACCTTCAGGGTACATATTGTCATTATTCCTGTTTTCAGATGAGGAAGGTGAGGTACAGGGAAGTTAAGCACATGAAATATGTATGGTAGGACTGAGATTTGAGCCCAGGCTGTCTGGCTTCAAAGCCTGTGTTCCTGACCATTGTACCACATCACCCCTCTGAACATAGCTCTTACTCTTTAAAGGACCTCAGATGTAATCTAGAAGTCAGACAATAGCATTTAACTTAAACATCTGTCAGATTCTGAGCACCATTGAGGCCGGAGAATAGAGAAATGCTAATGTCAGAGTTATTGATGGAACTCACTGGGCCTCTAAGTGAAGCTAAGCAGTTTGCCTAAGACAGAGCTTTTCTTAGGGTATGAGACTTTTCAGTGGTAAAGCCAACTAGGATGGTGGATCACCATTCTGGGCATGCCTCATCCTTCCTTCACTACCTAGTGTTTAGCTGACCCTCTGGGGGTAGGGGTACAAAGATGTGGAGAGGAAGTTAGGACACATGTACATAGTGGAAACACAGCTATGCAGCAGCAGCAAAAAGCCCTGCAGGGCTAGATCCATTTTGGCCTTGGGATGAGGGACAGTGGAACATTAGAGAAACATGGTGGGTCCAGTTTGAAATGGCTTTGGGTTAAAAATTTGGGCCTGGTCTTGCCTGTGGGAACCACTTGATGTCCTGAGCTGGGGAAGTTCTTCGGTGGCTGAGTGAATGCCTATAGAGCTTCTTGGCACTGTTACTTTCGTTTCTTTCTGTTGCCCCTAGACAGTGCTTGGGCTCCTTCCAAGGGATGCTGATGCTGTAGCAGGAAAGCATGGTGTCTGTGTGTGGTCTCTGGAGCTTGGGCAGCTCACTTATTCATGTTTCTCCACCTCCCTACAGATGACTGCTTATGGGGCTTTCCTGCACAAGGGCTCTTTCTGCCGAAATTACTTCAACATCCTGGACCTGCTGGTGGTCAGCGTGTCCCTCATCTCTTTTGGCATCCAGTGAGTTCATCTCCCTCACCTCAGGAAGGGGGCGATCAGCTAGGAATGGGTGTCAAATGGGATAACCAACCCCCGGAGGACCTTCTTGGTGGACTACTACACTGTGACTGTGATTAGAGTGGGATGGGGTCTCACACTGCACACCATGGTAGTTTTGATTCTTCTTCCTCTTTCTCCTTCTCCTCCTCTTCTTTACAGTACTTGAGATTGAACCCAGGGACCAAACAGTGCTCTACCACTAAGTAATAACTGAAGCCTTTTTTCTTTGAGATATGTTCTCCCTAAGTTGCCAGGGCTGGCCTTGAACTTATGATCTTCCTGCTTTAGCCTCCCAAGTACCTAGGAGCCTACACCACCAGGCATCTCTTAATTTCTTGAATTCATGTCCTCCATGATGTGATGCTTTTGGGCATATTCATCCACAGGGATGTGTTTAAATGCCTGGATTTTTGTCGTGGCAGATTAAAACCCTATTATAAACAGGTATCTGCAATATCTTCCCAAGTTTCCCTCCATTGTATGCTTAGGGCCCTTGGCTGCCCTACAGCCTCCAAAACCTGCCATTGCCATGACCTACCATGACCTATTAGCCCAGCCCCTCTCCCTGTCTCTCATCTCTATCTTCAGTTAAAGCACCTGGTATGTGTATACGCATGTCATGTGTACATATGTATTGGAAAGGAAAATGATAGGCATGGGGAAAGAGATTGAAAACCTATTGTTTCTCAATCTTAGCTGCACAGAGCAACTTGCTGGATGACTTTAAAAGAATGGTGTTTGCCTGGATCCCACCCCTGGAGTTTTTTATTCCACTGGACTAGGGCACAGTATGATTTGTAAACACTCTCCAGCCCATTACCCTGTAATACTTGCTCAGGTTTAAAAGGAATGTGATTCTGAGTTTCTACACATTCTAACAGCTAAGCTTGTTAATCTTACACTTTGATTTCCAAAGCACTTTCAAACATACACATCCTTCCATGGTGTACACACACATACACACACACAAACACACACACAGAGGAGGCAGGAGAAATGTTATAAAATTTGATATTCAGAGCATTAGGAGACTTATTCAAGGTTATACCAATGATGGAGAAAGGCTTGCATCTCAGGGGTCTTGGGTCTCCCATCCCAAGGCTTGTTTGTGGTCAGCTTCTGGGATAATATGGGGACCATGAAAATTAGGCCCTTTTCTGTGATCATCAACTATTTCCCACACACAAACACACACACACACACACACACACAGGAGGCAGGAGAAACATTGTTATTAAATTTGATATTCAGAGCATTAGGAGACTTATTCAAGGTTATACCAATGATGGAGAAAGGCTTGCATCTCAGGGGTCTTGGATCTCCCATCCCAAGGCTTGTTTGTGGTCAGCTTCTGGGATAATATGGGGACGATGAAAATTAGACCCTTTTCTGTGATCATCAACTATTTCCCCCGAATTTCTCTCTGGGAGGCTAGAGGTCTAACTTCCTACCCCAGCACTGTTTCACTTTGAACCAACAATTCCTCCTTTTAGTCTATTTTGCCCCATCTGCCCTTTAAATCCCTTCTATTGTGATTGAATGCAGTCTGCCTGCCTCCCAGAGGTGCTGTGGGAAGAGATGCCCTGACAGATAGGACTGTCCTTTGTATCTTTTGGAATAAAGATCCATGAACCGGAGAAATTGGGTTTTCATTCTAACTCCCTCCTGACATACAAAGAATAAAATCAGCACTTGCTGACGCATCAGACCCTTTTTAGGTTCTGAGGCAGGTTTGAGGCCTCCTGTCCAGTGTTGGCATAGATACTTCAATCACATAGTAGCTGGGGTCACGATATACTTCAGTGTAGCCACTCAACTGTGTGCAATTAATGAGCTCCACTTGGGCTAGACGGGTGGAAATCCTACAGCTGTCTTACTGAAGGGCCTGTGGGGGACCTGCCCTCCCTGCTTCTTTTCCACCAGGAAGTAGCCATAGCCCAAGGCTCACAGTTCTGGCTTGCCCTTGGCATTCCATGTGTATAGACATGGCTGTTTCTTGGAAGTCTAGCATGTCATGAACCATGATAAAACTGACATATACCTATAGTGGGTGATGACTTGGGAATTGAGTTTAGAAATACTCCAAACCCTCCCCCACCCTTCCAACCACAAGACCTGAAGTCCCACCATCAGTGTAATCAATCATTCAATGTTTAGTAGAGTGATGTCTTTGTCAGGCCAGACAGTGAGAGCTGCATTACTGCATTTGTCCCATGTGCCAAGCTGTGGCTACTCCATGCTGTCAATTCTCCTTTAATCCCTGGAACATCCTCTTGAGCTAATTACTGCCTCATTTTTCAGATGAAGAAACCAGGGCACAGAAAATTAAGAAATGTGCCCTGCGTAGTTTGGTGGGCTAGTAGCAGCAGTGGAGTCTGAATTCAAGTGTGACTTGTTTGCACTCTCTGTCCTTTGACACTAGATAAACTGAGTCACATACTGTATTGCTAATGACTGTGCTGACTGGCTTTTTATGCCTCTTGGTCCACCTGCCCAGATTAAAAAAAAAAAAAAAAAAAAAAAACAACAACAACAACAAAAAGAACGCATGTTGTCAAGTCTTTGCCATAAGCTGTACCCCCACCTCTCTTCTTGTGTATTTACCATCAGGAAAGTCCCAGAGTCACATAGAAGCCCCAGGTCCTTAGAGGTGGGAGAAAGAAGGGAACAGTCCCCAAGGCAAACACTGTGTTTTCTTGAGTTTGCCTAAGGCCAGTCTGCCAGGACACCATCTCACCATGTCGTTTCCTGCTGCAACACAAGGATGGGAGCTTACCTACCACCTGCCCTCTTTTCTCCCAGGTCCAGTGTGATCAACGTTGTGAAGATCTTATAAGTGCTTCGAGTCCTCAGGCCCCTCAGGGCCATCAACAGAGCCAAGGGGCTAAAGGTGAAAAGAGAGTGTCTGGGTGGGCAGCCTTCAACCCAGTAAACATTAACTAGCCTACTGGTGGGTAGAAAGTGCGCTGAGGTGAGGAAGAGCCCTGGAGGTAGTCAGGACAAGTATCTACCCTGTTGGAGTCACTCAAAACCTCAAAACCGGAGTTCCTAAGCAAAGCTTTTCAAAGGGTGGGTCCCCACAGAAACACTGTCCCCTGGTGATGATTCAGTCCCATTATGCCTGATGCTGCAGTGGACACTGGAGCTGGGGTCCTAGAGAGCAAAGATTTGCACCAAAATAGTATAAGCAAAGAATTATATTTATTCTCTATAGACAGAGGGGCCAAGATGCTAAGGAAAGTATTGACCATCCCTTGCCAGGAGCTGGAGTTTATATAGGATTGAACAGAGCTAGTAGGTAGTAGGGACATTTACAGGGCTGGCTCCTAAGAGCGATCTTTGGGGCAACTGAATTTCCTTCATTTTTCTCTTAAACCTGGTTCAACAGACAGATGTCACAGGGCACACAGCACTTTTCCACTTAGCTAAGATTCCAAAGAAGACAGGAGTAAGGCAAGGGAAAGACAATTTTTGAGTTAACAGTCAATAAATTTGGTCTTTCTTTTATCCCTTATCAAAGGAATATGTACAGAAATACATGTATGTATTTATTTATTATTGTAATTAGCTTACAAAGTAAGAGGCTTTCTCCTTGTGGCAATTTCATACCTTCTTCGCTCTCATTGATTCTCTTCTCCTCCCCACTCTCCCCCATTACACCCTGCTCCACTTCCCTCCTGCATCGTTTTGCCCTCAGGACCCCCTTCCACTTTCATACCTCATATGCCCTATTATCCTCCCCTCTATTATCCCCCCTCCAATTTCCTGGACTTTACTCCCACTAGATATGCACATTTAATAATTAGAAGCTAGGGTGCACATGGAAAGAGCATGCCATAATTGTCTTTCTGAGCATGGGTTACCTCACATGCAGAGTTTTCCAGTCCATGCTCCTACAAATGTCATTACATTTTTCTTCGTGGTTTGGAAATGTTCCATTGTATATATGTACCACATTTTCATGTTCCATTCATCTGCAAATACCACTTTTCAACATGGTGACAATTGTCTTTGGAAAATTTCACACATGTATACAAAGTATTTTGGTCATGCCCATCCCCCACTCCACAACACATCTCCCTCCCAACTTCACGTCATTTTCATTTTTAGTAACCTACGAAGCCCATCTCGTGCCACCCACGTGCTGCACATGTGTGTGTGTGTGGTCACCCACTGGGGCATGGGCAATTTACCAATGGTGACTCACCCCAAGAAAAGTGACTTCCCCTCCCTCAGCTGCCATCAACTGCCAAGAGCTCCTCAGCCAGGAGTGGGACATCAGGAGTCCCTTCCCCTTCTAGACTGGAATTTTAAGCAATATTTTATTTATTATGTTTATTTTATGTATATGAGTGCATTGCCTGCATGTGTGTAAGTGCACCCATTTCATGCAATGCCCACAGAGGTCAGAAGAGGGCATCAGATCCCCTGGAACAGACAGTTGTTACCTGCCATGTGGGTACTGGGAATTGAACCTGAGTCCTCTGCAAGAGTCATCTCTCTAGCCCCAGACTGGAATTTTTAACTCCCTTGATCTTGAGAAGGTCTTGTGAGGGTAACCACAGCTGTTGTGAATTCATGTAACAGCCATGACATGTCAAGATGCCAGCCTTTCCCAAGCATGCATTCCCACCCTCCGCCTCGTACATTCTTTCTGCTCCTTGTCCATGCAGGACACCCCTGTTTAAACTTTTTATAAATTTCTGTGGGTTTTTTTTTATGTGTATAAGTGTATTGCCTGCATGTATGTGAGTGCACCCGTGTCATGCAGTGTCACAAAGGTCAGAAGAGGGCATCATATTCCTCTGGAACTGGAGTTAAGGATGGTTCGTGGCCGCCATGTGGGTGCTGGGAATCGAACCCAGGTCCTCTACAAGAGCAGTCAGTGCTCTTAACCACTGAGCCATCTCCCCATCTCCTCCCCCAACTCCTAATCTTTCACTCAATATTATTGTATTCTTTACTATCCCATTTATTTGCAATGTAGTCTTATGTATATGTTTGTGATTCTGGCTCCTTACTGTTTATCAACTGTAAATGGATAAAATGATGATACCTATTACAGATTGTTCTGAGGATCAGAACAATATGCTAATATGTAAAGCATTTAGAATGGAACCTAGCACAGTGTGAAGTAAATATTCACTGTTGTTATCATAGCCCCTACAAAAATTGTATTCTGTATTTGTTCCTTTTCCTTTCTCACCCTTTACTCCACCCTGAAGCTTTTATAGTCTGACTTGTTCACTAAATTAAAATTGATCTCTTAAAGGTTTCCATGACCTCATGATTGCCAAACACACTGTCCTTTTCCCTGTCCTCATTCTTCATGCCTTCTGTATAGAATTTTCTTTTTTCTTTTCTTTCTTTTTTTTTTTGGTCTTTTTGAGACAGGGTCTCCTTGTAGCCCCATCTGGCCTGGAACAGCTGGCCTGAAACTCACTGATAGGGGTCAGGTTTGTCAGAAATCAGGATTTATAAGTTTTGTGGGACTGACTTAGTCTTCTAATTTTGTAAACAGAATGGAATCTAATGGAAATCACTTTATAATACTATCCATTTGCTTATTACTGACAAATAATAGATAATAATTGACAAATACGGATATTAATTTTGAATCTGGTCTACACTATCAGATACCCTATACCCATTACTCCAGCCCCTTTTACTTAATTTTTAATAAGCAACCCAACACGTTTTTATGAAGAGATAATGGGTGTTTTCCAAAAGGAGTCAATCTTCAATTTTGAAGAGCTAATGAGACTATTGCAGGCTAAGGAGGCAAAAAGCTTTCCTTTTTGATATCTTCTGTCATTTGTTTATTTACTCACCAGTCTAGAGGACTGAAGCCCGTAAGCACATGGAGTTTTGTACAATAAGTCAACTTTTGCAAACAGATTTAAATATTTGTCGAATAAAATAACTTTGGGGGCTGGAGAGATGGCTCAATGGTTAAGAACACTGACTGTTCTTGCAGAAGACCCAGGTTTGAATCCCAGCACTCACATGGCAGCTACAGAGATGCCCCAAGCAGGACAAACTCTTTTAAATAGAATTTTTCCTACTGTTAAGGTAGTGACCATCCAGCAAGTGAAGGCTTTACCACATGGGAAGACATACAAATTTGGCATTTTTATCATTTAGATGAAATTTAACTACCAATTTTTGTTGTTGTCTTTTTTGAGACAGAGTCTCCCTGTAGCCCCAGCTGTCCTGGAACTCACTATGTAGACCAGGCTGGCCTTGAACTCACAGAGATCCCCTGTAGCCCCAGCTATCCTGGAACTCACTATGTAGACCAGGCCGGCCTTGAACTCATAGAGAGCCACCTGCCTCTGCCTCCCAAGTGCTGGGATTAAAGGCATGCGCCACCACGCCCTGCTTATTTATTTATTTTTATTGTATGTGTATGAGTGTTTTGCTTTCATATATGTAAGTGCACCATGTGCATGCAATACCTGTGGAGGCCAGAAGAGAGCATCAGATCCCCTGAAACTGAAATTACTGATGGCTGTTGGCTGCCATGTGGGTGCTAGAAATTGAACCCTGGTCCTCTGAAAGAGCAGCCGGTGCTCTTAACTGCTGACCTATCTCTCCAGCCCCAATCTATCTTTAATTTTTTTTTTTACAAAATTTAGGAAATATTTCTTAATAAAATAACTGTATAGCAAAGGAAAACCCATAAAACATGCATATTGTGCCTTAAATACCTAACAATTATAAATACAAGCAAAACATGTTAATAGTCCTACATTTTTGGGGACCCTGTGTCATAGTGTGTGTGTGGAGGTCAGAGAACAAGTGTGTAGAGTCCCTTCTGGCCTTCCACTTTTATGAAGGTGCTGGAAATCAAGCTCAGGTTGCCTGGCTTGCACAGCAAGTGCCTTTATCCTCTGAGCCAGTGCTCCAGCCTCTTAACAAATTTTAAACTAAGTTTTGCCATAACAAACACTAAGAAACTGGCTTTGTTTAAAAAAAAAAAAAACAATTTTCATTAGGGTCCTCTAGGCAACCAAAAGCAGAATAAAATCTGATACTTTTGTTTCCTTTACTCTTGATGCATTTGTTTACCTTTGAAGTAAGGATGTTAAAAAAAAAAGT